ACTTTATATACGGAGGAACCGCCTACAGAGTTTATAGAATATTATTTGTATCACAGATTATCTGTAAAGGAGAAACTGGTTGTTTTCTAATGTGGGATGAGGCTGAATATCTACTATATCTAATATATCTTAAATAATAATCTCAACTTTAAAATAATAATTTAATTTTCTTCAGAAATGAATCAAATGCTGAGATATAGAGATATGTTTTCATACACCAAGAAGGCCTCACGACCCCCCGGGAAGCTTTTTAAGCTAACTTTGTATGTTAGCTTGGTGATGTTAGCTAGCTCATTGGTGCTAGGTGAGCTAGCTAACATCACAGCTCCACTGACATGACGTTTGTATCCTGTGCTGAATCCAACACTGAAGTAACAAAAGCCTGCAGTTCCTCTAACGACCACTAGAGGCTGGCTCCAGCAGTGAGTCGATCTCCATAAGGCCCCGTATCAAAATGTCTTTGTCTAATGTTTTAAAATTACATTAAGGATTAAAGTTAGGAACAATTATGGGTGTGGTCGCTTTGAGTTACAGGTGGGAACCGTTACACATAACCAGGCTTCAGTCTCAGCTCCACCTCTGTGCCTGTTTCTGGATTAGCTGTGAGTCGGCGGAGTCAGAAACCAGTGGGTGACGTCACAGAGACTTTAATTATACAGTCCACGGCTGTCACAAGCCTCTCTGTGAGCTTCTTTCTGCTCAGTGACACAGAACGAAAATAGTTCCCTCGTGAAACTGACCACACAGAAAACTAAACTTTCAGCTCAAACAATCTCTCCCGAGTTTCTGGAAGAATCGCTCGTCTCGTCTGTTGGTGGCGAGAGCAGCATAAAGTGTTCTGGCTGTCAGGTATCAGAGCGAGGCTGTGACACCGCTGTCACACACTCATCTGAATAAATGATTCATGGTGTCGGGGTGAAAAGCCGTCGAGGCTCATCGCTCAACGTGCCGAGTGACGCAACGCTGCGAGGAGAGAAACAGAGACGGCTGGAGAGAGACAAAGCTTCATGACTCAACAGAATACATTTAATTTCAGACCAAAAACTCAGCATCAATAACACCAACTCACCCAGCAGGAGAAGATCTATAGAGCACAGAGATCCTCTAAATGAGAGCAACACAACTGCTGGGACTTTATCTGCCTGATGCTTCAAACGCTTTACAGTCTCTCCAATGTGGATTTGGGAATTCAGACGCCCACTGTGAAGTGAAGGATCAGGTCACCAAGTTCAGAGAATAAATTAAAATGCAGTGAAATTTAATTCCAAAAACCATTTACTTCAGCCGCTGTTCAACAAAATATTAGTGATAAAAGTGTAATATTACAGTCTTTATGTCTAATTGTTAATGCAGGAGGAATATAAGATTTATCTGAAATGAAAAAGAGATGAATGGTTAGAGGTAAATGTCCTAACAAAAGAGAGAAAGTGATTAACTTGCTTCAGTGTTTATGAGGACTTTTAAAAATATTTTTGGAGCTTTTATTGTTTTTAATTGATAGTGACAACTGAAGAGAGGAGGAAGGGTGGAGAGAGAGATGATGACACACAGTAAAGGACTCAGCCCCGACACTTTGGGGACCAGCTCCATCAGGTGAGCCACCAGGACGCCTCGAGGATTTGGACAGGTTGTAAAACTCGAGGAAGTAATATAAGACAAAAGAGTGAAACATAAATGTAGACAGAAATAACAAGACTGCTCCTGCTGTGTGTATATCTTGTGGTCCGTAGTTTCTTCAAACTTTTTTGTTTTAATCTTTTATGTTTTTTAGCTTTATTGCTGAAAACATTATTGAATGATGTCTGACTGGATTTGACTTTAAGCCAAAATTGTTCAAATCAACTGGATCGGAAGATTTTGACGATGGCAACGGCTCCACGTTCAGATGCTGCAGCCTGTAAGCTAGCTCCTTCAAACCTCTCTGTTTTTGTTTTAATCTGGTTTTTGCTGAAACACGTTACCTTTGACAGAAATAGTCTACAGTTTTAAGGACAAACGAAAGTTGAAGAGCAGCGGACATTGAGGACGACCAAGATCAGATCAGACCACAGCCGGTGCTGTTGCCCCAAGAGAAGAGGTAGAGACCCAGATAGTTTGGACTGAAGGCTGCTCCTGGCTAATGTTCGGTCTGGACCAAATGAGACTCGGCAGGAAATCAGAGACTGTTGTGTCCACATCTTTACAAAAACCTGCTCCATCAACATCTTGGGTCCTCAATGGGCGGACCATGTTCCTCTCCGACAGAGCGAGAGGAGGCGGACTCTGCATCAATTATGTTTCATGCTCAAGAGCAGTTAAAGTGGACGCTGTTGTTCTACTTAAAATTTAATGAATGTGAACTGCGGACTTTAATGTTATTGTTCAACCTTGTGTTGTACAATATTGCATTTCCTTGATCCTTGGAGATGAACTTGTGTATTTCTGGATTGTTTAACACCTGAACCTCACCTGGTGGATGAGCAGAGGGCTGAGAGTCTGTGAGAACAGAGGGAGGAAGGGATGGAGGTTTGAGGGTTGGTTGAGCTGCGTCACGGTTGAAGGAGATTTGTGTTCTCTATTAAAAAGAAAAACAAACAGATCCATCACCGCGCCATTGCTGGTGCCGATCTCCCCATCTGTCTGTCTGTCTGTCTGTCTGTCTGTCTGTTTAATTGTCTTTCTTTGTGTTTCACACATAAACACAGAGTCCCTCCTCCCCTCCTGTCTCCGGCATTCATGCTGCTCTCTGAAAAATGTCTCGAATGCATCAGTATTCAGGGTGCAGGAAGAGGCCGATGTATGAATTTAAATGTGGAGTGCACTCGAGCTGGCAGCTGGCTCTGCAGATTTGTGGTTTACACAGTTTTTCTGTAGTTGCTGATTTGTGTGTCTGAATTCTGATTTCCTTCTCTCTCCGACTCCCCTCGTTTCTCAGCCGTCCCTCCGATTTGAAACTCTGCTGGAAGCTGTGGACTGAAGCAAAGTCAGGGACAGTTTATATCACATTTAATGTCTCAAAGGGCTTTACACAGGCACAAGCAATATGAAATGAGGAAAAACTTCCCCCCTAAAAACAACTTGTAGAAGGAAATAAAATAGAAGAAATGTTGAAAATGAAGAGAGAGATCCTTTAGGACATTCAATAAAGAGATACAACCTCAATATGAAACTGCAGATGCTTCCATACAGGAAGTGAACGAGTACAGACAGACAAAGTCAGACCATATACTAAAATACACTAAATGAAAACAGAATAATTTAGCTATATTCATCCAATCACCTAACCTTAGTTCACGCCCCCACCCCTCTGTTTTTATCAATCAGTAACATTAATAGGGGAAGCAAGTAATAAAAAATGATCTACATTTAGTTAAATAAAGGTCAGCATGATGGCAAACAACTCTTGTTTGTGTGGTTGCTTGGATCTGGAGAGCAGCTCATTAGGATGCCCGAGCACCTGGACGAGCCCCCATTTTATCACAATGCAGCTCAAAGGACGAAATGTGAAGCAAGAAACAGAAACCTGTCATACATTGACTGTTTATC